TATACTGCCGTACAGTGGAAAAACGCCGTATGTTGCCATTTCTTAGTTTTTAGAAAATGACGTTTAAAATATTGACTTATAAAATCGGCTATATCTTATACGCGGAAGCATAAATAATAAATAGAGACATGTATAAATAATTAGTAGCATTAAAGTCAACTTTGTTATTTACCGCTTTCGTTGTAAAAAGAAAAGGTTCAGAATAAATAGTAAAAATATTGGACATACGTAAAATTGAACTACTAAAAACCATTTCGTTACTAAGCATAAAAACAGTATGTATAGTTTTTATTACATACGGTTACGAGTTTATTATCGTTGCCACTAAATACTATTTATGAACACCGTATGTAAAACATTCGTTATTTATTTTGGGAACGTTAAACAATCAAAACGGATTTATTTAACAAAAATTGTGTAAATAAGCTGCACCCCCTGTAAAGTATAACTCAAATAAATCTTAACATAACTAAAAAATTTTATTTAGTATTATTAATAAACAAAAATTGGTAAGTTATTTATAATAACAGCTGCTACATTAAGGAACTAACTGCAAGTAAGGTTAAAAACATACACTAAAACAATTTTATTAAACACACACAAGGCACACATTCTGTTTTACATTATATACCGTATGTGACCAAAATTTGTTAACTCAACTAGTTATTTCGTAAAAGCGAAAATATTTACTTGGCTTGATTTGCGTTAACAAACAATGAACAAATCCAAATATGTATAGATAATATGGTAAAATACCAATTTTTACTCATCTTCAATTGTGTTGATTAGATCAGCTGCATTACTTTCAGGTAAATTTTTCCAGAAATATAATTTATGTTTCGGAAATATCGAAGACAAATTGTTAAGAAGCTTATTTTTTCTCTCAGCAGTTATACCTCTATTTGATGTGTAGGATTCAGGCTCTTTCAGTATAAAATTTTTCTTGGAGAGAATATTTAGCTCTTGATATTCGACTTCTTTAAAACATTTTTTATAAAATAAGCTTTTACAACCTCGCCTTGCCTCAAGTACCACAATGTCTTTTAAAAGTGGGCGGTTTTTATTAAGTTTCTGGATCTGGTAGTTTGTTGTTAAATTGGGCCAGTGCTTAAAATCAGAAAAATACATTGCCTTCACTAACGTGGCGCCATTATCTTTTGTACAGTTTTGCACAACATTTATAAAGTCTTGGAAGTCATACACTTTTGGATTCTGTTTTAATCCTTTTTCCACGAGATGGTGAAAACTGTCAGCAGACATAAATGTATGACCGACCTCAAAATATTTAATGGTTATTGTTTCTGCTGCGATGTGGTCTGAATTTATTAAGTAAATTAAAAAACTCAGTAAAGACCAGTTTTTATTCTGGCCACTGCAATTATCAGCCCATATAAAAATATGTTTTTTGTCACGTGCGTAATTTGTCAAAAATTTGTAATACGCACTAATTATATCTTCTTTCTTACGTCCAGCAATAGCTTCATGCCAAAGTACTGCTACAGCCTTATTTTTTACTGAAATATTTCCCAAAGGCACGAAAGATTGGTTGAAAACAATAATTCGTGGTGTAAATATTACTTGTTTGAACATTTCGAGCCTGGGAAGCATTATTACCTTTTGCATATCAGTGCAATAGTGCATAGTGTCTTCGTCGTCGGTTTTCTGCTTATCGCGCCTGTATTCTTCCCTGGATTCTTCAGCTTTTTTTATGTGCTGTAGCCACTGACAGCAGGTAGGACAGTCATTATTAGTTGTAGCATTTTCTTTGGAATGAGCAACATCGTGCAACAAAAATACCTCGCATTTTTCGCATTCTTCATGCCCCAATTTTGCAAATGAAATATTCAAGTCCTTAATTACGCTTCTGTAAAATTCATAAGAGATTATGACATTTGGATGGGTTTCCTGAAAATCTCGAAACATGCTGGTAATAGTGATGTCACTAGGTAGGTACAATTTATACGGTGCGTGCTCCCGTCTGTAATGCGAAACGCACGGTGAATATTTTTTAATGTGATTTTGAATAATTTTCTTATCAATTTTCAACCTTTTGTAGGAACCACGTTTATCTGTTGGTGGACTTTCAATATTTCGCAAGATTGTATCATTGTTACCTGAATATCCTAGAGTTGTTAAGAAAAATACTTTACAAACTTCTACACGTGCGCCGTTTTCTCCCTTCATAAAATATTTTCTGGTTGACTGTCTTCTAGAATCTTTACTTGAACTTAAACGTCTTTTTGTTACATTAACTATTTCAGTGTAATGGCTTAAAAAAGCTTTTTTTTCAGTAAAAGTTTTATTCCAGTACTTCTTATTTATTTCTTGACGTGTTGTTATCCCAATTTTAAAGAAACAGTTTTTCTTGCATTTACAGGGCGGTTTTAGTTCATGGCATTCGATTCTCTTCTTCTGAAGAAACTCCATCCTATCTTTTTTAGACACTAAATACTTTTTTCTTTTTCTGATTTCACCCTTTTTTGTGAAACTTTTATCCAACTCCGTATAATTATCGATCGAAATTTCATTTTCTTTAGAACTCAACTTTTTCTCCGCTTTATTTCTAGGATTTGGCGTAACGTGTTCAATATCATTCGGTCCTACAATAATTTGTATATTGTTCTGTTCACTGCTTTGGACTTCTACATCATTCTCTTCTGTAACCATTTGAATTATATTTTCCTGCTCATTTCCTGAAATCCCTAATTTATTCTGTACTTCTTCTTGCGCATTTCTTTCAGTTTCCATATAACTACGAACTGTCGTCACAGGCATTGGAGTGATATTTTCTGGCTGGATTTCTGGAATGTCTCCACTGACATGTTGTTTAGTTGTTGCAATAATATCTGAAAAATATATGAACAAAATAAATAAATGTACCGATATAAAAAACACAGGACAATTTTAGGCGTAAATTGCATTTTGCATTTGATAGGTAAAATCAGACAAAAAGAGCATATGAAAAGCGTCTACCTACTTTCGTAGAGAGATTAATAGTGAAAAATATTTTATATTATTACAATGTTTATTGTACCACTTAATAGATCAACTAAGTAATTAACAATTAAGTGGTTCAAATTTACAATTATTATTATTATTGAAAGCAAATTAATCATTTTTGAGTTTGGATTGACAAATTTTAACAAAGCAATGATCAAAGTGACCTATTTTAAAGGTTAATTGATATATTGAGACACGTAGACTCTGCCATGAAATAAATATATATTCATTTTAACTTACCTTCCAAGTTTTTAGGTGGACCTAATAATAATTGATTTAACTCTGTGGAACTTATAATACTGATATCATTTTCCTCAATAAAACTTTCCGTTACGAGGGGTTGCATATTTTCATCTAGTAAAATCATTTCGCTTATTGAAACATCATTAATTGTGTTACTTAAAACATCACTATTCGAATTGTTTTTAATGTCACTAGTTTTAAGCACTTGAAGCACCATTCTTTTTCCTCTGGATCCCATTTTGTAAATTATTTCTTAAGAAATAATTATGACTCTAAACTAATGCATGAGCACGCACATACGTTTGAGAGCTAACTGAATAACAATCGACGATTTATTTCGTTACTAGACAAAAAGACCGTATGTTTTGACATACGGCGTAAAATTGGGCGGGAACGCGACGCGCCATAATTTTCTAACCATAAACACCGTATGTAACGAATCTTTATCTACATAGGGTATTTATGTTTAGGAAATTAAGATATTTTGAGCGACATACGTAAAAAATTGACACATCCGGTTTTTATGTTATGTAATTAGCCACCAATTTTTTTAAACGTTCAAATGAACTAATTTCAAAGTGTTTTTATCCGTTTTTACTAATCATGAAAAAAAATTGCAAACAAATATATGATAGCTTTTAGTGTAAAAAATTCAAAAACATCAAAATCTTAATTTTGATAAAAATGCTACATACGGTGTTTTTCCATTGGACGGCAGAGTATGAGTATCAAATATTTATAATTTTTTAATTTTTTTAAAATTAAAGGTCGCTCAACTCTGAAAATTAAAATAATTATGAGTGACCTTTAGAAATTAAAATATCGATTTGAAATTTTCAGAATCGAGATTTTTTTCAACCTAGAAAATGATAAAATAAGGGGAAAAAAATTAAACAAAAAAAAATCAATTTTTGACGATTTTGGAAATTTTTAAAAATCTTGAGCGACCTTTAAAAAAAATTTTTTGAGCTGATTTTTTGAGGGGGCTCTTAAAACATGATAAACTAACATATTTTCAGAAGAGACACGAAAAAAATAGTTTTTTTTGGGCCACCCTACTATACATATTATTCTCCAAACGTAATTAGTAGCAAGTTTCTATATTTTTTAGTAATTAGGCAGTGTTTTTTAAATTAATACGACTCGCCAAAGTAAAAAAATAATTCAAATTATATCATTTTTATTGAAAATAGCGGGTAATTTACGTATCGGATTGTTAACGTAATAGTATATTATGTAAAAAGTGTTGTAAAAAGCATTTTACGCACGAATGGAAAAGTTACGCACAACGCCGCGTAGCGGCGAGTGCGTAATTCTATGAATGCGTAATTGCATTACACCACGTATTACGTACTATACTTTACCTACGGCCACTACTGTAAATACTTAAAAACACACCGTCTGCAATCAATGTAAAATTCCTATTTTACGTACGGTAAAAAAATCGCACAGCTTGGTAAAAAAATCGTACAGTTTTCCTAGCAACCCCCTAGCAACGTTCAATACAAACAGTATTGTATTGATCGCAGACGGTGTGTTTTTAAGTATTTACAGTAGTGGTCGTAGGTAAAAATATAAACATTAGACTGTTGACTATTCCTGTTAAACGTTTTTTAAGCTTTTGAAGAAGAAACTACATGGAATTTAAAAAATTATATCTGCTTTTATAATAAAGGAATGGTAATTCTAAGATTGTTTAAGCTTATTAACTAAGAATTATTGCCTACTTAATAAAAAAATTATTATTGTCCTCGATAATCTATTAATGATTAATAAAATCTTTATTCTCTTTCCTTATAAAACTGTATGTACACAAATTGGAGCCGCTCCTGAACAATCGGGCGCGAGACCTGTTAAAATATAGGTTCAGCTTAAATTATTAAACAACACACCTTGAAGCGTTGGCCGCTAGAGCAAGAGCAGCACTTGCCGGGGTACCGTTTCGAGACTCACGCTGGGCTATATTTTTTGTACAAAATCCCGTCCTTAAAACAATAGCAAATGTTTTGTTTTATAGTGAATGGTCTAAGAAGCAGAGACCACACACTTGCTAGTTAAGGGGGGGGGGGGAGCGGGTAATACAGCAGGTTGGTATTATAATTACTATTTAAAATAAACATGCGCACATGAAGGCAATTGATTCAGTTTTCACTTAAAAAAAAGAAATAGCAAATACATACACATACCAGTTTATCTCTGGAAATTAGAAACCCCAAGCATGATCATGTTGGTTCATGGTATAAGATTATAGAACAATATTTGTTTTACTAATTGAGTATAATAATAACACTTTCAAAATACAAAAAAAAATAACTACTATACATTTGAATTCACTACATTAATTACGATTAAATACCATTTTTTTCCAAATAAAGCGTTAACAGTAGTTAGCTGACTTAAATGGAGGAATGTACGTGTTACGTTTTTCCTTCTAAATTGGATATTGGATTACGTAATAAAGTAGGCAATACACATAAATAAATACTCATTACTTGAGTTAAAAGAAAATAATAATAATAATCAACCACTAGCACTTATCTGCACTTGAAGCGGGTCGGGGGAGGGCTGCGTCAAATGAACTTGAACCAAAAAAACTGACGGGAACGCCTTCCGGTGTAATCTGAATGGATACTCTATATATGCAGTGCCAAGGCGTGGAGAACCAAAATAAAGGACTTATAGTACCGGGAGGATGAACCCAGAGGAGTAGAGGGAAAAATAAAAGCCCTATAAAGAGTTACAAGTTGAAAGACTCACGAAAAGACGTAATTGAAATTAAAACTTAATTGATTGTTGGGCAGCTTATAAGTAATATCCTCGAATAACCGGGAATAATATCTCCATCTGAGGATGGTCCTACGGGTTACAGACAGCACATATATCCAGAATTGCCAATCGTAAATCACTCAACAAACTGTTAGATCACAAAACAATGTTGTGGCACATTAAATTCTAAAGAAATTTTTTCATTAAATAATTAACATACGTGCTCACAACGTTCATTCATCTTGGCAGAGAAATATGGAAAACCGGAAAATTACAAAAACGAAATTTAAGCCCACCCATACCAAAATAAGGATTTAACGTAAATTGCTGAAGTCAGTTCATACTTAAAATAGGAAATCATAATTGGAAATAGACGGCTATACTGAAAATTGTTTCAATAAGTCTAATATAAGGGGACCGCCTAGCCGGGTGTCTTGGCCGATGGATTTCGATCGGCCGAGGTAAGCATCACGGACGCAGGCTGGAACTTGGATGGGTGACCTAAGGCAGGCTCGTTACGTGGCTGTGGTAGCCTACCAGAGACCTGGGTCGCTCAACACCTTCCGCCTGCGTGTGATCCCCGATAAAATGGTAATGAGAATAGAGCAATAAATCTCTGTAACTCAAGACCATGCTATCATACATAAAAAAAAAATGTACCAGACTTTGCCACCAAGCTACCAGTGTAGTAATAGGATGGTTTGAAGAAAATACTCGAGTAATGAAAGGGAGGTGTACAAGGGGCCTAATAAGGCCCAAGTGCCGCGGGGGAAAAGCAATTTAAATCAAGAAAATAATGTAAACAATCCTAAGATGCCAATGCAAAAAAATATACCAAGAACAATGATGATTATCAAACTAGACAACCATGTAAGTACCTACTTGAATAATATTGATAATTTTTTTTAATAGTAGACAATTTGGTAATTAATATAATAATTAATTAAAATAATAAAAATAAGAAATTGTGTAACAAACCACTGCTCAACATATAAGTATTTCTCTGTTTTAGATTTCACACTGTGTGAGTATTTTAAGATTCTATCTAACTAAACTGTAAACTGAAATGAAGAAAGAAGATATTGACTCAACTGCATAGGATGCACCATACAGTCGAATTAAATATTAAGAAATTAATTAATATCTAACGTTCTATAATAAAGATGTCAAAAGTATCTTTTTAATTTCCTGTTTTCTTATTTTCAAATTTTAAGTGTAACAAAATACGGCATTACGTTATCCAACTCGGTATTTTCGAATTGATATATTTAGTAGGTAAGTACCTCTTTTTACTCAAATTAAAAATATTTTCTATTTTGACAATAGTTAAAAAAATGCACTTAAAGAAAGCAGGGCCATATTTTTATTATTTACCAATTTACAATTGGGAGATTAAAAGTTAAGCTAGATGGATATCACTTACAAAGTTACGTGTCTCTGCCTAATGTCTAAAAATAGAATAAAACAGTTGTTCCCGTATCTACATTTTAATTACTCCTAACATAAGTCTTTGTTTTCTGAAGTGCTGGGCTTTTACAAATTGATCATTTAAAATGTATCGCAAGATTGCGCTATTACATCTTATAGTAAGTTTTGACTCTGAAGAATAGAATTGTTGAGAAATATTGCAAATGAGGGCAATGAAAATTCTTATTGATTTTCAAAACTTGTGAACCTTATTAGTAGCGTTTGCAGGAAACAATAATACACAAAACGTGTCATTTTTCTAAAAAAATGTGTTTTTATATTCTATGAATATATAGGTGAATTAATTTTACATATATTTTACTGTTATCCCCGTCGATATGGGTAAATAAAACCAGTGAAATTATTTATATAAAAATACATGTAGTATAATAAGATATGTCATTAGATAAATATTTGTTATTTTAGATTACTCTATTTCACAGGAGCAAGTTTTTGGTCGAAAATCCAAAGTAAATTATTTAACGAGGCGTACTAAAGCAAGTCTGTTTAAAATTTAAAAATTCTTACATGGTTTTTTCCTATTTAATCAAGTAAAATGTTCCTGCTTATAGAAAAGTACATACAACATATAATTAACAACATAGTACGGCAGTGCTGCCAATACTAGAATGTTTAAAAAAAACAATAAAGGAAGTTAATCTACTATTCCTATTTTTATTCGTACTTAAGATATAATTCACCCCACTCTGCGGTACATATGCAGAAACGTTATATAGAAATATACCTACAACATTCTTCTATACAGGCTCTTCACCGCTGAAGTAATAATATGTCACATTACATTTCCAACGTGACCCCTGTAACTATAAATATGGATGACACGAACTCGCGCCATCAAGCACTGTCTGGCCATTTATATAACCCAAGAAA